TATTGCCGCTATCACCGGGTTGATAATCACGACACGGAGGAGTGCTTTACCTTGAAACGCGAGATTGAAAGACCGATCCAAAGGGGCCATCTGAGTAACTTCGTCAAAGGGGCTGCACAGCAGCCCAACCATGTATGGCGGAAATCATCAGAACAAGTGGCATGCACGCAGCCGGAGACCCGAAGGGTAGAGAAAAGACACATTGGAAATGAGAGTGACGAGGATGCCTCGGATGAGCCAGGGCCGAAGCGAGACAAGAGGAACCATGACATCAATTTCATTTATGGAGGTAATGCAGGTGGGGACTCTTCGTCCCTTCGAAAGAAATGGGCTCGTCAACTGTACATTGGTGAGATCATGCACTCTCCAATGAAAAAGAAGGTACGACGTGAACCTATATGCTTTACTGATGATGACCTACCACCATGTCCAAGCCCACATCGGGATGCCATGGTTATCAAAATGGAGATCAATGATCTTGTCATACACCGTACCCTGGTCGACACTGGAAGTTCCGTTAACATAATGTACCTCGACACTTTCGAGAAACTGAAGTTGTCCAAAGGAAAACTCCATCCGATAAAAACCCCATTATCTGGGTTCACGGGTGACTCTATCGAGGCAGAGGGAGTTGTCACGGTCCCGGTGGAGGTGGGGGACACGTCCCATAAATTGAAACTCAACATGGAGTTCGTAGTTGTCCGACTGACATGTGCACATAATCTCATACTTGGACGGCCAGGCCTGGAAGATTTGCAGTGCATTGTGTCCCCGGCACATCTTTGTATTAAGTTCCCAACACCAACCGGAGTGGGGATAGCACGCGGGAGCCAGAAGCTCGCCCGAACATGCTACATAAAAATCACAAAGAAGGTGGGGCGGCATGGCCTCCAGGTAAACACTGTGGCCACACAATACCTACAAGATGAAGAGCGAAGACCCCGTGCTGAACCAGCAGAAGGGACGGAAGAGGTCACCCTTGACCCTGCAACCCCAGAGCGCAAGGTTAAGATAGGCACCGGATTGTCAGCTGAGCTCCGCGCTGAGGTCATAACCGTCCTGACTATGTACCAAGGCATATTTGCAAGAGGACCAGAGGACATGCCGGGCATCAGTAGAGATGTCATCTCTCATCGCCTAGATGTGAACACTATGTCAAATCCGGTGAAACAAAAGAAACGTTACATGTCCTCGGACAGGCGGGAATTCGTAAGGAAAGAAGTGGGCACCTTGTTAAAAATCGGCCACATCAAGGAGGTAAAATACCCAGAATGGTTGGCAAATGTGGTATTGGCACCTAAGCCCCCAACGTGGAGGATGTGTGTGGATTACACTGACCTAAACAAGGCATGCCCGATGGATCCATTCCCATTGCCTAACATCGACCAATTGGTGGACGAGACAGCAGGGTGCGAGTTGATGAGTTTCATGGATGCTTTCAGTGGATACCACCAAATTCGCATGCATGAGGAGGATGCGGAGAAAACCTCATTCATGACTCCAGAGGGTGTTTTCTGTTACTTAGTCATGGCGTTTGGACTGAAAAACTCTGGGGCAACGTACACTCGCATGATCTCTAAACTTTTTCGACCTGTCCTAGGCCGCACCATGGAGGCCTACGTGGATGATATGATTGTGAAGAGTAAAAGAGCAGGTACGCATGCCGTGGATTTGGCAGAGGTGTTCAAAATCATGGAGAAGTTCAATCTTCGTCTCAATCCAAAGAAGTGCACGTTCGCCGTGCAGGGAGGGAAGTTCCTGGGTTACTTGGTAAGCAGAAGAGGAATCGAGCCAAATCCGGAGAAAGTCAAGGCCATTCTCGAAATGGAACCTCCTCGTAATGTCAAAGAAGTACAGCGATTGACGGGACGCTTAGCGGCTTTGAACCGCTTCTTATCAAAACTAGCAGAGAAAGCCACGCCATTCTTCCACATCATGAAGAAATCAAAGGGTTTCGTATGGACTGAGGAGTGCCAAAAGTCATTCGAGGGATTGAAAAACTACCTCTTGTCTCCTCCTGTCTTGTCCAAACCTGAGGCAGGGGAGACATTATACCTATACCTAGGGGTTTCACCAAGTGCAATTAGTTCTGTCCTGGTGCGTGAAGATGATGGCGTCCAGAGACCCGTTTACTACGTAAGCAAAACTTTGAGGGACGCTGAGCTACGGTACACAACCATAGAAAAAACTGTTCTATCCGTGGTGTGGACGGTCAAACGGCTAACACAATACTTCCAAGCTCACCCTGTCCATGTACTGTCACACCAACCCCTGGGTGCCTTAATGAGAAGTCCCACGGCTTCCTCGAGGATGGTCAAATGGGCAGTGTATCTAAGTCAATTTCATATAGAGGTGAAGCCAAGACCTTCCATCAAGGGGCAAGCTCTTGCAGATTTCATAGTAGAATGCACAGCGCGGGAGGAAGCAACGAAGATGAAGCATGGCGACAATGAACAAGAGTGGTGGATATTGTCCACGGATGGCTCCTCCGCGGCCAAATCCTGCGGGGGAGGGGTGGTCCTCACCACGCCCGAAGGCTTCAGGGCCTATTACGCTATCCGGTTCAACTTCAAGGTGTCGAATAATGAAGCAGAGTACGAGGCTCTACTATGTGGCCTACGCTTGGCGGCGAACATGAGGGCGGAGAAGGTCAAGATACGGTGTGATTCAAAACTAGTGGTTGGACAGATCACGACTGAGTTTGAGGCGAAGGAAGAACGGATGCGGCTATATCGTGACGCTGCCCTGGAACTTCTGAAATTGTTCATCGCCTATGAAATTGAACAGATACCAAGAGCGCAAAATGTCGAAGCAGACATGTTATCCAAATTAAGTGCAGAGACACCGGAAAGGATTTCAAAGATTGCAAGGATAGAAGAGTTGGACACTTCCAGCATATATGCATGCCCTGTCCAGGCCATAACCACGAGGGACGCGGACTGGATTGACTCCCTCATCAAGTATATCAACGAGGGAGTGCTGCCCGCGGAGGAGGTTGAAGCCAAGGTGACTAAGATGAGGGCGCCGAGTTATACCATTTTGAATGAGAAACTGTACAAGAGGTCTTACAATGGCACGCTTCTCAAGTGCTTACGACCAGATGAAGCCAAGGTTGCCATGGAAGAGATACATGCAGGGATATGCTCAGCTCACCAAGGAGCACACACCATGTCCCGAAAGGTAATCCTACAAGGTTTTTTCTGGCCAACCATAGTTAAGGATTGCGCTGAATTTGTCAAGAGGTGTGTGGTGTGTCAAGAGTTCCAGAAATCTCCGGGACGTCCAGCCACCAACTACACCCCCATTAGCACGGCTATACCTTTTGCACGGTGGGGGATAGATCTCATTGGTGCCTTACCAAGGGGAACAGGGAGCGTGAGATGGGTTATCGTTGCCATAGACTATTTTACTAAATGGATAGAAGCAGTACCCCTAGCTAGCATCACTGAAGGGCAATGCAGAAAATTTGTCATGAAGCACATCCTTTGTCGCTTTGGAGTACCCCAACAGATCATAACCGATAATGGGAGGCAATTTGGAGCATCCGGGTTTAACGAATTCTGTGAGAGTTGGGGGATCAAACATAGCAATGCGTCAGTTGCCTATCCCCAAGCGAATGGCCAAGTGGAGAATGCAAACCGCACGATCATGGACGGTTTGAAGAAAAAAGTGGAAACTGCCGGAGGGGAGTGGGCTGAAGAACTACCACAGATACTCTGGGCATACAGGACCACACCAAGAAAGGCCACAGGGGAGACACCATTCGCCTTGACATATGGTTTCGAGGCGAGGGCACCTGCGGAAGTAATTCTCCATAGCCGCCGAGAAGAGGAATATGACCCCGAGACGAACGAGGAGGTCATGGCGACCGAGCTTCTTTTATTGAAGAAAGAAGGGAAGCGGCTTTCTGTCGTGCGGAGAACTATAGAAGGCAGGTGAAGGGATACCATGATTCTCGAGTTCGCAAACGCAACTTTGAAGTTGGGGACTATGTCTTGAGAAAAAGGGAGGTCAGCAAACCCTTGGAAGGGGGGAAATTTGCCAAAAATTATGAAGGCCCTTACGTGATTAAATCAGTGATCCGTCCAGGGACGTTCAAACTCCAGACACCGAAGGGAAAAGAAATTGAGAGGACTTGGAACGCAGAACACTTGCTCAAGTTTTACCATTGATAATTTATCACTGATACTCCACCTGATGATTATGATGTATGGTAACCACGTATGGTGGTAAACGCGGTCCTTTTCCATCCACTGTTTTCAAATAAGAGATCTCCTTGATCCACACAAGAGTGAATAATGGCAGTCTTTGGCCGCAAAAAAAAAAAAAAAAAAAGTGTCGTCCAAGGACACCAGGGGTGTAAAATTCACCCAAAACAAAAAACAAACTACAAGGTGTCATCCAAGGACACCGTGGGTGTAAAACTCACCCAAAACAAAAAAAAAACAAAAAAAAATGAAATAAAAAACTAGTAAGTAGTCAGGCATGTCTCCTATGACATAGCTAAAATTCTCAACACGCAAGGGGTGTAGACTCGCCCCTAGAAAGGGGACGAGGATACATTGCAAATTGATCCCAACAAATGCGTAACCCTCAGGGTTGTATGGTCAGGATGCATCTGTGAAATATATCGGATAGCGGCCATGTTTCCCAAAAAACGTTGTGTGCCCCAGAGCAAGCCTAAGTCACTCAGGTGTTAGGTTCGCTCACTTAGTCCTATTTTTTGCGAATAAGTGATGCGCGCAATGTAGCGAAGGAGGAGGTGTCAACGACACCTTGTGCCTATCGAAATGCACAATGCCTCAATTGAAAATTAGGCAGATACGGGGCGATAAATGCACCAAAGTTATACACTTGGTGTAGTATCACCGTACACTACTATGAATGATCACACAAACCATGCCAAACAAGGCATGGTCACATCGTGGTCTCATAAATCCTAAATGTTGGTCAAATAATTAATTATGCGATAATACTGAACAATAACGAAAGGAAAATAAGACATGCATCATTATTATTTTATGAAATTCAAAACATGTTTAGCAATTCAGGTACTCGTAATTGAAGACATGACAGAATTAAAGTCTACACTACGTCCATCCGTCACTCCCATGCATGCTCTAAGGCACAGAAGCAGTCGAAGCTGGGTGATCTGTCTCGGAAGGAAGATCGCCAAGCTCCTCATCAGTGGGGAGTCTGTCAAAAGGAATATAGTCCAGGGGCGTGTTGGCTACCGGGATCTCAGGGTTGGGAACCTCAGGAGGAAGTCCCCAATCAGTGATGCAAGAGGCACCAGCCTTATCCCTCAAGATAGGATATACTTTCTGTTGAGTGGCATATATCCCGATCTGGTAGGAGATGTAGCTCTCTAAGGCCAGTTTCTCACGACCTTCCGGAGTAGACAACCAATGCTTGCTAATATCGTTCAAGTGGGCATTAATGTATGCTTCCTGATCAGACACGAACTCTGGAGAATTCTTGTATGCATCCACGGCCCGCCCCCTTGCATTGGCCAACTCCACGGCGTGCATTTCTTTAAGCATAGTGACCTCGGCTGCATGTGAGTCACGCACGAGCTTGAGCGATGCCACCTCCTTCGCTAATTCGGTGAGTTGTAGCGACAAATCTTTTTCGCGCTCATCTTTCCTTCGGTTCACCTCGGAGATGGACAACAGTAGCTACAAAAAAGAAAAAAAAAAATTAGTATCACGAGATGCATAAATAAAAGGTAACGGGGAAATGGGAGGGTTACCTCGGCCAGGCCATGGTGGCTCCTCTTCTCTAAAGCAGCATGGTCAAGTGTTGAAATTTTCTCCTTCTCAGTCGCCGTGATCACCTGTGATAAGAGCGGAGGTAACTCAAGGTTACCTCGTAACCAAGTAGTCATCCCCGCCGTGGGAATATCACTCATGCTACGGGTGACGCGGGCTGCGGGGCTAGCGGCCCTGCGTTTTGCAATGGATGAAGGCACAGTTACAATGGCATCCTTGCCTTTTGTGACGGAGGGAACCCTTGGTTTCTTGTCAGAGCGCCCCTGGTCACTACCGCGAGGCCCATCCTGGTCGAAGCTTTGGAACATCTCCAACCGCGATGTCATATCTGCAAAAAAAAAAGGGTATGCATATGTGTTAGTTAATATATATATGCGTGTATTATCTCCTATAGACAAAGTAACTGTGGACAACCTTGATCCGTGGACGTGGATGCGTGTGCACCCGAACATGGTGACGGCGAATAGAGTCCAACCGTGGTTAGGCGGTCCTCGGAAGTAAAGGCAGAGAGGCTATACGGTCCTCCAGAAAGAATCATAGCCGGCCATGTCTCCTGGTCAACTGGAAGTTTCGGGTACGAATACTTCTTAAATCGACATTTCAAAGACGATGAAAAAGGTAACGGAGATCCAGACGACACATAGACAAATTCTTCTTTCCAATTGGCTTCGTTGCTACGAGTGACCTTCCACATGTCAAAGTGGTTGCGCTGAGAGATAGACACCCAGGACAGACTATCAGATGCCGAGCACTGCCCAGCTCGGAACATGTGCTTGAAGAGGTCTAGGGACGGTTCAATCCCAAGTGTCTCACACCGGACAAGAAAAGCTACCAGATATTGATGACCGAGCGGAGTCAAGTGACAAGGTGAAATTTCAAGATCATTTAAAAACTCGATAATCAAAGAGTGTGTGGGAAAGCGGAATCCTAATTTTATGGAAAGAATATGCACCCCGAAAAAGTGACCTTTAGGAGGATCGGTTACAATATCCTCCGAATCGGGACATCGGACAGTCACTGTGGACGGAAAAAATTTCTTATACTTTTCAAACTTGGAAACTGAGAGGCGCGACCTGTAGTGTAAGATGGGGCTCGGGTCTAAGGGTGGATACGGACCACGGTAGCGACGTTTTGGTGGTTTGACTGAAGCGGCTCGTGGCTTTATGGGACTAATTTCTTCAACATCAGAATTAACATCTGCCCAGGGATGAGGAAAATTCTCCAACACTAATTCCCCGTCACCACTGAGCAATTCATCAGAGTCTATGGAGTCCAGTATATCCATAAGGTATTAACAGCTAAAATATTATGCAAAAAAAAAGGCGAGAGAAAAATCAGCCGCTAATTATAAAAAGAAATACTACGTATCAGTCATTAGCTATTCGAAAAAAAAAAATGAAAAAGATGTCACCAAAATTAATACTAGCTGTAAAATGTAAACTAGTAATAAGGGTATAGCAGCTATGGACTTTGGTCAAAGCAAATTTAATACTCCTACACAGTGATATTACTAGTTTGCTATACGTATGGGGAGAAGAAGAATCAAAATTAAATCAAAAGAAAAGAAAGAGAAGGAAAGGAGCGTACCTATTCCTGCGTACCCTGACAAGCGGCGGCGGCTTGAAGTCGTAGATCCACACCCAGGGAAGAACGGAAACGGAAAACCGACGTCCGACGGCAGCAGTACTCTTCACCCGAAAACGCCTGCGGCCTAGAATACACAGGGGAGGCGACTGAGACAGAGTAACGGAGAAGATAAGCAGTGAACTGAAATAAAGAAAGTTGGCGGCGGTGCTGAGATTTTCTGTAGAAATTCAATGGCCAGCTACCCGCTAGGTCACTGCGACGGTGGAGTTGGACTGTCTCTCTTACTCGCGGTGGTCGGTGAAAACTGATGAAGGGCGTGGCAGACTGGAACTCCGAGTGGGCTTGCTGGTGGGGCGGATGGACGCCGGCGAGCGGCGGACGACGCTGGCCTTGTTTCCGGCGAGCTGCGGTCTGGACAGAACAGCTATGACGGTGGTTGACCCTTATCCACGAGGCTGCCAGGGAAAAAGTAAAATTGGGAATATAAAATACCAATTTTGTTAAAAGATAAGATTTAAGTGATTGAATTGTAAAAAGACAAAAGTATTGACATGGTGACCATGTACACTTCAGATTTGGCATGGCAACCATGTATCTACACTCTCTATCCCCATATGCTAGTCGGCTATGGTGACCGTGTACTCCTATGGCCACGGCAACTGTGTCTCTATACTCCCTATAGCCAATATGCTATTTGGCTTAGGGAGTGGGGGGCTTGTGATGGTATAATTATCCCAACCATGGATAAATGTTGACCGGGTTAACATGAATGAAAAACAGTTAGAGGTTGATGTGCTTGGTAACTATGCACGGATGATGGTAAGGTATAAGAAGAGCTCGTACGTGGTGACCACGCGCGAGTTAGAAGATAAAAGATTGTACATAACGACTGTGGACGCAAGTTAGTAGAAGATCAGGGACTACATAGTGACCGTGGATATCAGGGTAGGCTTATCCAGGAAGCATGTCCACAGCAACCATGGACGCGATCAAGTACCTTAGCCAGAGGAGCGTCCACAGCGACCCTGGACATAGTAGTAGAAGCTTATCCAAATATCATATGCATGGTGTCTCTGGACGTTATGCCTACATGGTGACTCCGTACAGACAAACCACATCCCCGACGTCTTTTCAAGATATTTACACGATCAACAAAGGATCCTGCGGATCCGGATGAGTGATTTGCGTATCAATACGAACATGGCGACCACGTCGCCCAAATCTTTTATGTCTTATTTTGCACTATAAAATGATGTAATCTTTGGAAAGTTAAGAAAGCTCAATACACTAAATACATTACATACATTTATCTCTCTAAAGATTATCCTGAGCACTTTAATTATTTTCGGCTATCTCTTATTAATTATTTTCCGGTGGATTTACTTCCATCATGTATAATACACATACTGTACGTATTGATACGTATTTTATTAAAAAAAAACACCATTAAACGGAAGCCTAATTGAGTGATACAACTGAAACAAAATGCATGTCAAGCTAATCAATATTATTTATATTGCTTAAAAAACGTTATGCCTTATATGTTCGCTAATTGTTTAACGGTCATTACATTTAATGAATTAGCTTCTTAAATTCGTAATCTGTTTCGATATTTCTATTGTACTACTACTGTATTACTTTTGTTCTCCACCCATATATCAAGACTCCAAAGAGATTGAAAAATGTTGTGGCGGCTCACTAAACTCATGGTCAAAGTAATATCAACTATTTTCTAGTAATATCTCTCCACTTCTACTTAAATAAGCAATGTCATTTTTATTACGTATTGTACCTATGCATTTAAATACGTAAATCTAAAGAAAAAAAAAACTATTCCGTACATTTTAAATTGTTGAAGATTGGGGGTGCAAATGTTAAATAACTCTTTATTTCTATCTTTTTTTTTACCCCACCCCCCTACTCTTTATTTCTATCATTAAATAAGTACTTCGTATACAAGACACATATTATATGCCGTATTTTTAAATTGTGAAACGTTTAAAACGCGTCCGTATCTTTATATATTTCACGAACGTATGAAACATATATTAAGCCGTATTTTATATAATTGTATCGTATTATACACGAACGTACGTATTATTGTATTATTCACGTACCGTATATTACTAAAAGGTAATATGTAGTACTGCTTATTATTTTTTCCACAAAGTTTAAGAGTGAAAAGACAACAGTGATGAACAATGTACAAAAATGAAAATAGCTAGAATAAAATTACGAAACATATACGATAGTATATGTCAAACGGAGGATGAAAAGGAATATTAGCTATCGACGATTTACACCCAGATCGTAGTTCTGTGCAAGGCGGCGGCGTTGGACGGTGGGCGGCGGCGGTGAACTGTGGGCGGAGACTAGGCAGCGAACGGCAGTTGGGCGGAGGGGCAGCTGCGTGAGTGAGCGTTGGAGGTTGTATCTAGGGTTTTAGAATATGAATATGAGGTTAGGGTTTTATAGGGATAAGCTAAAGGGTGTTTTTGTCCATAAAAATTATTTATTACGGAGTAATTATTAATTACGAATTTTAATTAATTATTATGAAATGTAATATTAATTTGGGAAAAAACTAGTTAGGTCATAGATTAGGAAAGCGAGAGAGTTTTAGTCATATGAGGATAATTATTTCTATTTTTTCATACAAAAAAAAAATTATATTTTTTTTTCTATTTTTTCATACAAAATGTTATTACAAGGTTGCACATTTATAACTTTTTAGAAAGAAATGCATTACATATTTACATGTAGATTTATGGGCAGTTATATGACTAAAGTCCATTAATATAAAATATTTGAAGAATTCTGACCAACGTTCCTTAATGAACATGCTAGTGTGCTCCCTAAATTTTCTCAATACGGCAAATCCGTTTTTGGTTTGATTTTTATCTTTTTCGATTCGATTATATTTGGAAAAGATTGGAAAAATTATTATCAAACAAAGTCATACGGAGTACTATATTTTGGTTTGGATTTGTTATTTTTAATAGTATATATGAAAGTTTTATTGAACTTCTTAAGTTCGATTTAGTTTTATTTGGTTTTTCTCTTTTTGGTTCGATTCAATTTTAATACGGTTTGAAAGAAATATGATTATTAGCTAAATATATCCCTAACTATCATGAAATTCACAAATTTATCTCATACTTTCACTTTTATTAAAAAAGACTCAAACTTCAACTTTTCTAACTACACTTTCAAAGGATGAGTTAGTAAAAATTAAGAAGAAAACTATATTTATATTTCATATTTTTTCAATTCTTTTTAGTTTTAAGTTTACAAAATTGAATTGCTTACGTAGTACATCTTACTAGTATTGATAAAATTGTGAAATTTTGAAAAAACAAACAAGAAAAGAATAATTGTTGAAAAACATGAAGTTTGAGTCTTTTTTTTTTATAAAACTGAAAGTGTATGATAGATTTGTAAATTTGATGATGGTTTGAGATAGAATAAACTAACAATCCAAAGAAATATTATCAAACTCAAACCAAATTGCATATGATTCAGTTGGTTCGGTTTAGTGCGGATGATTGGTACGATTTGATTAAACTAAATCAATATGTTCATCATTAATACACACTCCCTTCGTCTCTTAAACATTTGCTAAGTTTGATCAGCACAGTTGCACAAAGAATTATAAAATTAAAATTGTGTGATTAAGATTTAGAGTTTTTCCCGAAATAATGCTAATTAATTAAATAATTCCCAAAATACTGTTGGGTTAAAAATAATCCCCAAAATACTGCTGGATTAACAGTGGTTAAGAAAAGCCGCCACTTGAAGTGGCGGCTCTTCTCTTACAGTACAAAAGAGTGGCGGCTCTTCTCTTACAGCACATTTTGTACATATATAAAACGCAGTATGTTTCAAGATTTTTTTAACTATCTTCCCTATTGAATTTTGAGCTGAAATTTTGTATGAATATACAATAATTGATGAGGAACATGCTCAAAATATTTCATCAAAAAGTTCCACCGGGAAGTTAGTTAAATAAATTTTTAAAAATTGCATAATTTTTTGGCCTAAAAATGCAGTTTTCTTCGATAAATTATTTAACTAACTTCTTGATTTAATTTTAATCTGAAATTGGGTGAACTTAACCTACACTTTAGGATGAACACGATCACCAAATTTTATCACAAAATTTGACTCAGAAGCCGTTCAAATTTCATGAAAATGTCTCATTCCTGTCACGAAGTTCTGACCGGAACCCCGTGCGGACAACATCAGCAGAGGGCCTTCCCGGTGAATTTTTTTGATAAAATTTTTTGAGCATGTTCTTCATCAAGTCTAGTTTATTCCTACCAAATTTCAGCTCAAAACTCGATCGGAAAGATAGTTAAAAAAAATCTTGAAACATACTACGTTTTATATATGTACAAAATGTGCCGTAAGAGAAGAGCCGCCACTTCAAGTGGCGGCTTTTGTAATGTAAGAGAAGAGCCGCCACTTCAAGTGGCGGCTTTCCTTAACCACGGTTAACCTAGCAGTATTTTGGGAATTATTTCTAACCCAACAGTATTTTGGGAATTATTTATTTAATTAGCATTATTTCGGAAAAATCTCTAAGATTTATATAATTTAGAGATAAATTTCACAATCGAAAATTAATTGATTAAAAAAGAAAATAATTTCTTATAGTCCGTGCAAAAGAATTAAGAAGCATGCGAGCATTTATCCCGTGCGCCCCCTAAATAAAAAACAGCACCGTTTGTGAAATACTCCCTCCGTCCCAGAATTAACTTCGGTTTTAACTGGGCACGGAGATTAAGAAAGTAGAAAATGTGTGGTGGAGAGTTGTGCAGAGGAGAGAGAAATGTGTAAGAATAGTTGTGAACCACAAATTCTTTACTAAAAAGGGAAAGGTGAGATAAATTTGGGAGGGACCAAAAAGGAAAGAATGAAGATAATTATGGGACGGAGGGAGTAATAAAATACGAGTATACCGTACTCCGTAATAAGAAAAAATCTATTGGTACCCCAAAATGGGGTACCCCATTTGTCCAATTGTCCCCCACCCTATTGGGTGGCCACAAATGAGGCAACTCATTTAAGTGGGGCACCACTTAAATGGGTTGGCTCATTTGTGGCCACCCAATAGGGTGGGGGACAAATGGGTACCCCATTTTGGGGGTACCTATAGCAAAACTCCCGTAATAATATCTCCGGTATCATATCCTTGTGGACCCTCACCCTTCCACGGTCAACAATCTCAAACTGACACCGGCACACGCTCTTGTCATCCCTTGTTGTTACAACTTTATAAATAATTTACAACTTGTAGCATATCTCATTTAATTATTTAATAATTGTACTTACAAAATACAGCTCCTAATAAAACTTTATCATTATTACCATTATTATAAACGGTAGTGATTAAGCCCGTTTGGTAGCACAAAAATCGAATTATTTGGCTGTTTCTGCTGAAATTTATGAAATTCTAGCTGAAGTGGCTGCATTGACTGATTCTGTTGTTTAAGAAAAAACTATTTTTAAAATATATTTTATTACAAAAATAAAGATAAAATTATATCTAAAAATAGATAAAATGGTCATCTACAATTCAGCCAATATAGCCACAAAAGTAACTTCAACCTTACTTTTTCTGCTTATTACACAATTCAGCGCGCGAAAGCAAAAATTACGTGTTTGGTGAAAAAGCTGGCTGATAAGCCTGATAAGCCAAAAAACAATGTTGCCAAACGACCTCTAAAATTATACGGAGTATTTGTGATGATATCCTATCTAAATAATTGCAACTTATTTATTCAAGTAGATTTATACTATCAGTAATCATATCTTAATTTTGAAGAGCAATTTTTGTTTTAGTGAAAGTCGTGTTAACAATTTATATCTCAACGCTCCTATTATACTCTGTATACTTTTATAAATCATGTGTCACAATTTGAATTATATAAACGATAACAATGTGAATTATAAAGTGTGATCATTTAGTATGATCAGTGGCGGGGCCACCTTTGAGGTGTGGTGTCAATTGACACCACTGATTTTTTGGTAAGCTCAGGCACAACAGCGCCTATCTTTCATTCATAATCAAGTGAGGTTGGGAAACCCCAAAGAAGTCATACAACAAATGAAATGATAAAGTAGGATCATTCCTAGAAATATTATGTATACCAAGTGGTAAACTATGACCAAGACCAGCTAAGTAGTCAGAAGCCTGGTTGTCTTCCCAATA